TTAACAAACTCCAACTACAATTTATCAATTTTTCTAGGTGTGGTTTCTGGTGTTGAATCTAAGAACTTCCAGCCTAGCCCTAGATTCTGGATTTTGTCAATATTAGATCCTGAAGATTTTTTGTTTGTTTTGGAAGGTATATGGTTCTAAGTTTTGCACTTTAATTCTGTAATCAATTTTGAGTTAATTCTTATATAAGGTATGAGATGAAGTTTGAGGTCCTTTTTTTTTTTTTCCCTAAGATGCTCAAGAGCTCCAACACCATTTTCTGAAAAACCTATCCTCTATTGAATTGTTTTACACCTTTGTCAAAAATCAATTGGGCATATTTGTGTGGGGCTATTTCTAGGTTCTGTTTTTGTTCACTGGTTTATTGTCCTTCCCTCTGCCAATACTGCTCATTTTTTATTAATGTAGTTGTCTAAGAATCTTGAAGTTAGTCAGTCTTTCTACTTTATTTCTTTTTCAAAATTCATTTATTTATTCTACTTTATTTACATTTTTATGTAACTTTTAGAATAATTCTTTTGTATCTACAATTTTTTTCTGAAATTTTGATAGAAATTGTGTTAAACTTGTACACCAAATTGTAGGAAATTGACATGTTTATTATATCTAGTTTTCCAATCAATGAACATGGTATCTGTCTCTGTTACTTAGATTTTCTTTTATTTCTTTCATTTGTATTTTATAATTTTCAATATACAAAGCTTATACATATTTGTTAGGTTTATACCTAAGCATTTCACTTTTTTAAACAATTATAAATGATACTCTATTTTTTTCATTTTAATGTATACATGTTCATTGCTGGTGTATATAAATAAATACAATAAAGTTTTATACATTGACTATGTATCCTACAACCTTGATAAGCCCATTTTTCAGGTCTTATTTTGATTTTGGTTTGTAAATTCCTTCAGATTTTCTACATAGACAAGTATGTCATTTGTAAATAGGAACAGTATTTATTTATGTTCTATATGGATTTTATTTCCTCCTCTTGCCTAATTGCAGAGTTTTAATTTTCCAGCATTATGTTGAATAAGAGTGGTAAAAACAGGCATCTTTGACTTGCTCCTAATCTCAGGGTAAAAGCATATAGTCTTTCATTACTAAATGCATATTAAGTATAGGTTTTGTTAAGTATGGGTTTAAGTATATTAAATATAGGTTAGGTAGATATCTTTTATCAAGTTAATAAAGTTCCACTCTATTCCTATTTTTCTGAGTTTTATCATAGGCAATATTGGAATTTTTCAGATGCTATTTTGTATCACTTGATAAATCAAATCTCTTCTTTGATCTGTTAATAGAGTGGGTTACATTGATTGCTTTTCAAGTGTTGAAAGAGCCTTGCATCCCTGGAATAAACCCCATTTGACTTTGAAGTATATTTTTAAAATATATTGCTGGATTTTATTTGTTAATATTTTATTAAGGAGTTCTTTTCATCTATATTAATTTTAGACTTTGTTCTGTAAATTATTTGTACTTTTTGGTTTTAATAAAAATATTCATAAAATAAAATACGAAATGCTTTCATTTTCTGGAAAAATTATGTAAGATTGATGCTAATTCAATTTAATTCTCCAAATAAATCATCAGATAATAGAAATGTTTGTCTTGGAGTTTTAAAATTATAAAATCAATTCTCTCCATTGCTATGCAGATACTCAAATTAGCTATTTTGTTTTGGTTGAGTTGTGGTAATTTATGTTTCTTGAGGAATTGGTCCACTTAGTCTAACTTGTCAAATTTATGTATATAAAGTTGTTTGTGTTTTCTCTCTCTTTTTTTTCTGTTAGTCTGTCAATTTTATTGTTCTTTTCAAAGAACTGGCTTTTTATTTCACTGATTTGTCTTTATTGTTTTTGTTTTTCAGATTTACTTATTTTATTATTTTCTTCCTTAAACTTTTAGCTTATATTGCTCTCCCTCTAGTTTTTTTTTAAATTATTATTATTGACTGGAGACTCTTCTGATGTATGCATTTTAGCGCTGTAAGTCTTCCTCTAGGTACTGCTTCAGCTGCATCTAACACACGTTGATTTATTTTCTTTTTTATGCAGTTTAATAATGCACTATCTTAAACTTCATGGAACTTATCATTTTGACTCATGAATTGTTAAAAGTGTGTTGTTTATTGATTTTTTTCCAAAATTTCGGGAAATTGCCTGCCATCCCTCTGCTATTGATATCTAGTTTCTTTCCATTACAGCTGAATACCACAATCTGTATAATTTCAATTCTTTTAAATTTGTTTAGTTTGTTTCATGGCCAAAGATATGGTCTACCTTGATATTTGAGTATCTAGACTGTGGGTTGTGGAAACGGATGTGTGTTCTACTATTGTTGGGTGAAATGCTCTATAAAAGTCTATTAAAAATCTATTAAATTCTCTTGGTTAGGTACTACTGAGGTGTATATATATATTTTTTGATGGAAATATATATATATATATATAGTGTTGATTCTGCGTCTAGTTGTTCCATCAATTTTTGAGAGGAGGGTGTTGAAGTATCCAAATATAATTATGGATTAATTTATTTCTCCTTTCAGTGCTATAAGGTTTTGCTTCATATCTTTGCAGCTCCATTATTTGGTTCATATACATTTAGAATTGTTATGTTTTCTTGGTGTATTGAACCTTTATCACTCTGTATTCTCTGTTTCTGGTAATTTTTATTTATTTTTTTTTTTTTTTGCTTCAGTCTATTTTGTCTGATATTATTGATACTGCCGGTTAACAGTAACAAGTTCTGATCCTCACATGTTGAAGTGTAACATTAGAGGAGTACACAGAGGCAAGCATATAAAGCAAGTTTTATTTTAAAAGGGGTAACATAGACTTCTTCCGGAAGAGAAGGGGGACATAACTGGTATCCTGGTATTCCAAGAAGTGAGAGCATTTTTCCTTTTTTATATATCCTAGGCTTACTTTGTTCTCCTGCTCTCTTCCTCTTATCTCTCTCCTTCCTGCATATGTAACTAGGCCCAGGAGATGGCCCAGATGAGTTGGCCAAAACGTGAGAAGCAGATGGGCTAGAGGGGCCAAGGTGGAGTGATCCTGGCAGGAAGGGGACCCAGGACACATTAATTAACAACTTTCACAATAACTTTCACAACTCCCTGTAGGGAGAGACAATCCCTGGAATAGGTTATCTTGGCAACAGGTTGGAGCAGGGGCAGGTTATCCTGATAAGGGTAGAGGAAGGCCTCTGAAGGCATTGACATTTCAATTCCTCAGACCCCATCTCCTGGACCCAAACTGGCCTCCATTCTGTGGATGGAACCTTTGCCTATCTGCACTGACTGCCTGTCTTCAATTCTGGTTTTATTATTATAACTAGTTCTGATTTCCTTTGATTAAATATTTCATGGTATCCTTTGTTTTTTTTTTATTCTGTTACTTTCAACCAGCCTATATTGTTGCATTTGAATGAGTTTCCTGGAGATAACACGTTGTTAGGTCATGTTTTAGAATCTATTGCTCCAGTTTCTGTCTTTTAATTAGTGTATATCTTAGGGCTTAAAAGCCTTCCATTTCATTTCTTACTTCCTGTTATATTTTTGGTTTCTCTGTTTTCTTCTTACCTTCTTTTAGTTACTTAAACTTTTTGTTTTAATTTATCAACATTTTTGTTTTAAAACATTTTAAACATTTTTAAACATTTAGTTGTAGGTGGACACAATGCCTCCATTTAATTTTTATGGGATGCTAAAGATTGAACCCAGTGCCTCATGCTTGCTAGGTGAGTGCTTTTCCTCTGAGTCACAACCCCAGCCCCTACTTAAACTTTTTTAAAAAGAATTCTATTTTATTTATAGTGATTTTTCTGTAAAACTACTGTATGTACAAAAATGGCACAAAAGTGAATTCAACAGTCGATGCACATGCATACTTTATTCACATCTTCAACAATAAAAGGTTTTAACACTACAGAACTAAATAAGAATACCAGCTTTAAGGGCAGCTGTTAAGTACTGAAGTCACATAAATCACACCAGAATGGACAAATATTGCCCAAGCAAAATTCTATTATTAAAACTCAAACAGGCTTAAGGGCATTCAAGTTCAAGCACAATTATACAAATCTTTTGGAGTCCCTTCTATTTATGTTTGAATTATGTGAATTTTCTTCCAACTTATGGTCTTAAACTTTTGCTTTACAAAATCCAAAAGGAAAATACAGAAGAAATCAATACAGTCAGGCATGGTGGCACAAGCCTGTAATCCCAATGGTTTAGGAGGCTGTGGTGGGAGGATCCTGAGTTCAGGGTCAACCTCAACAATTTAGCAAGACCCTAAGCAACTCAGAGAGGCCCTGTCTCTAAATAAAATATTTTAAAAGGTTGGGGGTGTGGCTCAGTGGTTAAGCACCCCTGGGTTCAATCCCCAGTACCAAAAAAAAAAAAAATCAAAATCAATACAGAGGTTACATGGTTACATTAAATAAAAGAAGCATACATAGCTATAATTAAGATGAAGTGAGGAAGACCCAAACATTAAAATTGTAAAATTTGCTTGTTACTTGTTGGAACCAGTCCTACACTAGGACTTAGGTAATATATACAATTTTTTGTTGTTGTTCTTGTTCTAACATTTATTTTCCTCCAAATTGATTGTGTTTTTCTCTAATGATATGAAAAGTCTTTGTTTCCCTTTTCCAAGTGTTGAGATTCAAAAAGCCAGGTCTTAATCATACAGTAATCTTCACCTCTTCAATGTCTTGTATGTTGATTTAGTTTCATGTATAGGTATTTATGTTAGTTTTCCTCAGGGATTTATACATTGACATATATTTTCAAGTAGATTACTTATGTTGCTCTAATGCATCCTTTTCATCAGTGTACTGTTAAAACTAATCAAAACCTCTTCGCATGTATTTTCCCTTACAATCACAGCATATACTCTCACTACCTGCAAAGCCAATAGTCTCAAATGATTTAGTGAATGAAAGGAAATAAAAAGTGAATAAATAATATATGAAGGAGAAATAATGGGAATTAGAAAATTCATGCAGGTCAGCTCTTTTAATCAGCCAGTCACTTGCTAGCAACAAGGGATGGTTTCCATTGAGGAAGCTGCTGTGGAGAGGGAATGTGGTCACCAGTGACCTCTGTATTATCTGGGGCTACAGTGGGAAGTTGCTTGTTTTTCATCGCTGCTTTTGCTATGTTGCAATTCCCAGAGTCAAAATAATTTTTGCCCTTTCTACAATAATTTCCTTAAAAAAACTGAACTTCCAGACTTTTGTCCCAGATGAGGATATCTTGTCTTCAATTTTGCTTCTTCAGTTTTCTCCAGACTAGTCATTTTATTTTTCATTTCCTACTTCTCCTCTGCTGAGGCTGCCTCAGGGACTTCCACAGGCATAGCACTCCCTCTGCCTAGCCCATATCAACAGTGATTTTGAATGTATCTCTTCATTATAGCTTTTTATTGGTTGTTGTAGGAATTAAAATACATACATGTGGCTTATCCTAGTCTACTGGTGTTATCATCTTACCAGTTCATGTGAAATAAAGAAATCTTACTCGCTTTACATTTCTTTACCCCCCTCTGTTTTGTTTCAAATATTTTCTCTGCTTACATTAGAATCACATCAGAGTTGTTATAAGTTTTGCTTTATATGCAAAAAAATTAAATTCAAGAGGAGAAAAGCCTATTGTATTTACTCATATTTTTGCTTTCTACGTTCTCCCTATCTAATGTTCCAAGTTTCTTGTTTTGTCATTTCACTTCCATTTAGAGAATTTTCTTTAGCCATTTGTTTAGATTAGGTCTGCTCACCACAAATTCTCTGTAATCATGATGTATCTTGGTGTGGATTCTTTAGACTAGTTTGAAGTTCACTCAGGTTTTTGAATCTTCAGGTTTAAATCTTAGCAATTTTCAACCATTATATCTTCAAGTACTTTATCATCCTCATCCTGTTCTCTCCAAAACTCTAAGGACGATGTTCTCTTCTTCTCTTTCACCCTTTTGAAGTTATGCTTTATTGATATTTTGCAGTTCATTAAGTTCTTTTCTCTTTTCTCTCCATTCTGCTCTTAATCTTATCAACTAAGCTTTTTGTTTCAGTTGTTGCATTTTTCAGTGTTTAAATTTTCCATTTGGTTCCTCTTTATGCCTTTCATTACTTTGTAGGGATTTTATATTTTTTTTCATTTGTTTCAAAATTCAGTGAGAAATGCTTCTCACTGAAGCATTTCTTTCATGACTATTATAATATTTTTCTTAATTAAATCTAATTTTTTATCTATAGATTGTCTATTTTGTTGTTGTTCATTTTGAGATCTTGATTTCTTTTCAATTTTCTATTGAAACCTAGAAATTTTCATGTTATAAAACTCTAGGTCTTATTTAAACTTTCTGGTTTTGTTATTGTTGCTTCTCTTGGTTTTATTTAATTTTGTTTTGGAGATGGGGGTCTCACTATGTTGTGTAGGCTGGACTCAAACTCCTAGGCTCAAAGGATCCTCCTGTCACAACCTCCTGAATAGCTGGAACTACAGATGCATGCCATTGCACCCAGTTTAAACCTGTTTTTACTTTACTGGCTTTTTAAACGCATTGCTTTGGCATGGGAAGTGAGGGCACTACTGCATTATTGCCAAGTGTAGTTAAAAGTCCAAGTTGACCACTAAGCCTACATTGATGCCTAAGGAAGGCTCTTCATTAATTCTGGGTAGGGGTATTAGTTATTGTTGCTCAAAGGCTCCGGTGACACTGCAGCAAAAGGGGAAAAAGTCACATCAATACCAGGCAATGGGAATGAAAGTCCAGTTTCCCTACTTAGACACCATCCTGGCAAGAGTGGTGGGGAACCACATTAAATGCTTATGAAGGTGGAAATCTAGGCTTTCCACCTGGCCTTTGTTATTATGAACAGTAGGGCAAATTTTTGTGGTGGTGGCTAAGACAAAGTAGTTATTCTGTAAGTTTTTTGTCTAGCTACATTGTTCTATTAGTCCTTTGGCTAGAGAGAAGTGAATTTTGAGGGGAGCTTCTTTGGTCTACAGTCATTGGTACTTCCAGGTTATTGGATGCTTCAGTTTCAAGTCTGGGATATATAAGGGGAAAACAAACTCCAGAGAACTCACCATCATGTCATTCCTTGAGGTCTGTCTGACAACTTCTCTTCACTTTTCCATTATATTTGTATTATATATGTAATATCCAGGGATTTTTAGTTAGAGTTGTCAAGAGGAATAAGGAAAATAAATTTTATACTATCTTCTTGGAAGTAAGAGATGAGACACTATTTTTCAAAATACGATATTTATTTAGTGATAATATCTATTTTTTATGTTATATCTTTCCTTGCTAGAAAGTGAGCCTCAAAATGTATGTTTTAGCTGGGATAGTGGCATATGCCTGTAATTCCAGTGACTCAGGAGGCTGAGGCAGGAGAATTGCAAGTTTGAGGTCAGCCACAACAACTCTGTCTTAAAATAAAAAAAGTAAAAAGATCTGGAGATGTAGCTCAGTACCTTCTTCTCAATGTCATGCTTTTAGTCTGGACATAATAGCTTGTTGAGTGAATTTATGAAGCCAAAAAACGAGTGCTACCAAAAAACAAATAATAAAAGAAGTTTGATTTTTAAATTGGCACTAAGCCAGTAGGAAGAATAGGTGGAGGGAAGAAAATCACTATATAAGAATTAAAGATAGCCAAGCATGGTTGTGCATGCCTGTAATTCCAGTGGCTTGGGAAGCTGAGATAAAAGAATTGCGAGTTCAAAGCCAGTCTCAGCAACTGTGCAGTGCTAAGCAACACAGTGAGACCCTTTCTCTGAGCAAAATACAAAAGAGGGGATGGGGATGTGGCTTAGTTGTCGAGTGCCCCTGAGTTCAATCCCTGGTACCCCCCCCCCTCAAAAACATAGAATTAAAGTTAGGAAGCAAAGTTTAAATAAAATATTACTAGAGAATAGTAAAATATATAGAGTACACAGCTCAAGCGAAGGAAGAAAATGGTGTAATACAGCCAGGATTATCCACTCTTGGAGACAGATCTGATATAGTCTACTCCCCATCCCCAACTCCACAATCAGCAATCACTACATGAAGCACGAGAAAAAGGAGGCATATTTCATATTAGCTTTGGGAACAGTACAAAAAGTTTGGTCTCCTCAAATTGTCACCAACATACTTGCCATATTAGCTTCTTATTGCTTTCCCTTTTAATCATCCTCTTCCTAGCACTGACAACAACAGTTGTTAACAACAAAACAGCAACATGTCTTCAAGGTACTATTAAATACAAGACATGCTTTTTCTACCAAGCCCACAAGGTGGAAAAAAAGACGGTTATTAGGACACATTAAATGAAAAGTTATAATACATGTTGTCCCTTACTCATCCTTTTTCTTTCCATATCACTAAAACCCTGCCCCAAACCATGAATTTAAGAGAAAAGAAAAGGAAGAACCAGACACAGAAACTTATGCTTTATTTATGCAGTAGCCATCAAATCCCCCTTTCTAGCACAAACCCATCACTCCTGGGTCCTCTCTGACTTCTGATGTCCCCTAGAAGCCATCAACTTCCTATTAGCCACATTTCTATTAATAGTCATGTTACATCCAATATGGTCTTTTAAACAAAAATTGCAGACCCAAGCTTCTAGAAACATGCCACTGTCAATTACCAGGCGAAGAAATAGAAATTGGAAGCTTCAATGACAATGGACATTGCAATTCTCTAATTTTTCATTTTCCCATTATTTATGACCTATACCAACATAAGACTTCTTGACTGAGTTGTGGTAATACCTCTCCCCTTAGTAAAATAAAAATTTTCCTTAAACTCTATACTTCAGATTCATTGTCTAAAATAGAGAAAGGAATAGGGAGGTGGACAAGATAACGCCTGATAGAGTCTACAAGATATGCTCCAAATATGATTTGGCCCTATTGATTCAGGATATTATATACTAAGCATTTCCTCATCCTGAAAAAGGGGAAGAGGAGAGGCCCAGTCTTATAAAGAGGTATGCATTTTGAATGGCTGATGAACACCTATGGCAAATAACAGAATTTCCAGCAACAAAAAATTCAGAGACTATAGATAACAAGCTTATTCTAGAGAGATCCAGAATCATTTAATGACCCTAATGGAGAAAAACTAAGACTATATATTATATATTCTTGTGTCCATATATTCTTGTAAGACTATATATTCATATATTCTTGGCTATATATTCATATATTCTTTGCATAAAGAAAGTCTAGAATAAATGTAAGCAAACTATTGCCAATGGGCAATATCAGCCTATCTTAATATAGCCTCCAAGCTAATGATTTTCACAATTTTTAAATGTCAGTTAAAAATTAAAAGAATAATATTTTACAACACAGGAAATTAGAAAGTTACTTTTAATAATTCAAATGTCAGTGTTGATACATAAAGTTTTATTGTCATATTTTATTTGTCATGTTTTATTTGTTCTCTTGTTTACTATTGCAAATGAATGAATGCCTTCATGCTACAAGAATAGAGCTGAGTAGTTATAGGAGAGATTGTATGGTCTATACAGCCTAAAATACCTGACTCTTTATTTAAAAAAATTTCCAGCATCTATTCTAAATCAATATACAAGAAACTTTATTAAATGATTACCTGGGAAACGGGAAGGGATGAGGGCCAGATGGGAAATTGTATTAAATATTTTTATATTATTTTGCTTTTTTTAATTTCATAAATGTATTACCTTTTAAAATAAATTTTTAATTTTTCTACAAAGAGCATTCCTATACCCTTGTGGGAGCCAGACTTCAAGATCACTAACTTCAATTATCACTAACTTTTTAGCCAGACTTCAATTATCACTAACTTTTTTTTTTAATTTATTTTTTAGTTGTAGTTGGACACAATACCTTTATTTCACTCATTTATTTTTTATGTGGTGCTAAGGATCGAACCCTGGGTCTCACGCATGTGAGACGAGCACTCTACTGCTGAGCCACAACCCCAGTCCCATCACTAACTCTTGATATTCACATTCTCTCACACTGTACCAAGAAGGTTTATGTGACAAATAATGTACTGCAAATGGTTTGTAAATTCCAAGACTGGGTAATAAAAGACAATGACTTCCATCTCACTCAGCAACCTACAGAAAGGTACATGTGGTGAGGAACTGAATCCTTTGGCCAATGGTCACTTAGGAACTGAGGTCTGCCAACAACTGTGTTAATGAGTTTGTAATAGATGTTTCATGTTGAGCCTTCAGATGAGACTGCAGCCATCCAATATCTTAATTGAAACATCATGAGAGAGCTTAAACCAGATGTATTCAGCTAAGTAGCTCTCAGATTCTTTCTCCATAGAA